TCTTATCTCAAAGTTTCATTTGGAATAGTCAGCATTTCTTTGTGCGTGGGAAATCATGTCTCATAAATTTACTTACGTTTTTTGAAGAGGTAACCAAGAAAATAGATGACGACTGTGTGGTAGACATTGTGATTATGGACTTTATCAAGGCCTTTGGCGTGGCCTGTTGTTCAGTAAGTTTAAATATCATGGGATCCAGGGAGAGATAGCCAATCAAATACAAACTTGGAATGCCGAAAGAAGATAGAGGGTGGTGGAAGAGGCTGTTTTTCAGACTGGAGGCCTGTGGCCAACGTTGTGCCACGAGGATCAGTGCTGAGTCCGCTGTTATCTATTATTTATACAAATGATTTGGATGCAAACTTAGAAGGTATGTTTAGGAAGTTTGAGGACAGCATCGGGTTGATGAAGAAGTGAAGTGAAGAAGGTTATCTAAGAATATAGCGAGATCTTGACCGACCAGGCCAGTCGTGTGAGGAATGGTAGATGGAGTTTAATTAAGATAAATACAAGGTGTTAGGTTTTGGTGGGTCAAACAAACACAGGATATATACAGTCAAAGGTAGGTCTCTTGGCATTATTATAGAATGAAAAGCTCAAGGAGTACAGGTTCATGGCTCATTGAAATTAGAGTCACAGGTAGGGTGGTGAAGAGGGATTTAGGCATGCTTAATTTCATCGGTCAGAGCATTGAGTGGAGAAGGTGTGATGTCTTGTTGAAGCTGGACAAGACGTTGGTGAGTTCACCCTACTATAGAAAGGATATTACTCAATGAGAAAAAAAAAATCAGAAAAAAAGATCGAAAATTAGGTTGCTACGTGGACTGGAGGTCTGAGTTAAAAGGAGAGTCGAGATAGGCTGGGGCTTTTTTCCCTAGAGTGTAGGAGACTGAGGGGGAATCTTGCAGAGTTCTGTAAAATCATGAGAGGCATAGATAAAGTAGATATCTAACAGCCTTTCCCCGTGTCAGAGGAGTCTAATACTACAGGGCATAGAGTTAATGTGAGAGGGGAGAGATACAAAAGGGTACAGTGGGGCATTTTCTTCACACAGAGGGTTATGAATGTCTGGAACAGGCTGACAGAAGTAGTGATGCATGCGAGTACAATTTCGACATTTAAGAAACATTTAGAGAGGTACATAGACGAGATAGGATATCGACCAAACAGGCAAATAGGACAGATGAATTGTGAAAAAAGGGCGGAATGGGCATGTTGGCCTGAAGGGCCTGCTTCCTTGCTGTAAAACTCTATGACTCTAAGGACTTGAAGAAACCCCAAGCTGTGTGGCCAAGCGAAAGGGCAGGATAAGATCCACATTATGATAAAGCCTGTAACTATGTTGAGGGCACTCACAAGGCTTCTAGCTGATTGAATGACATTCAACGCTCAGCTGCGAAGCAGGGTTAGCGCAGGAACCATGGACACTGCCAACATGGCCAGTTACTCAATTGATTTGTAATTTGGGAAGAGGAATTCTACAGTGGCCGATGCATGTGGTCTCTAAGCCATCGAGTACAGATTCAAACCTCCATTGGAAGGGAAATCTGCATCCAGTGTTTCAGACTCTATGTTAAGTATTTGAAACACTGAAACAACAGGAGTTCATCACTGATTAAGGCTCCTAACAGGGTTTCCAAAGGCAGGGCGTCTCCGGAAAGCTTCCTTGTGATGCAGGTAAGCCTGGGAATAATAAGTCTCCGAGAACAGAAATGAGAGCGCCTGTTTCAGATGAGAGTTTATGAATACAAGGGTGGATGGAGATAACCCCCTTGTGACATGTATCCGTCCACTTGGGAAAAACGTGTATTGAGGCCCACTTACCCTTCCTGGGTTTGACAGCCCTTGGGACCGATATGCTTCTTAGGAATTGGGACTGATTGGCTGAAGGTGGGATCACAGCAGTGAGGAGACAATCAGTGATGTAGAAAATGCTAATGGAGACCTGTAACTGCTCTCACCAAAGAGGAAATGCCTCTCAACATAGTTGAACCTGAGTGGGTTCGAGTGTACTGTGGCGGTGACCACAAATATGCCGGCACCAACTGAAGACAAATGTCCCAGGGCTGTGCTGTTGTCATCAGAGAGCACAGTGCGTGTCTCTGGTAAATGACCACGAACGCTATCTGTTGTCCTTGGAGGAACCAGTGGGATTCTGGCACCAGGAAACTCAAACACCTCTGAGGCAGCTGATGTCAGGGAAAGCTTCTTCCTACTATTCCAAGAAGTTTCAGTACAAGATGGTATCGGGATTTCACCCAATGGGGTCGAGTTGGATGGCAGGGACTGGTTGGCAATTGGCCTTTTTAACCATCTGGACCCACTCAACCTCATCAAGACAACAACTGGAGTGTCTCCTCCTCAGGACATTTGTCTTCAGTCCCAAGGTGAACCACTAGCTGATCTTGGTCAGAGCTGACTGTATGTGTTGAGTCCTCACTAGTGCCATAGCACTGAGCCCTGACCCATATCATGGAAAACAGTGCAAAGAAATCAGAGAGAGTGTGTGTGTGTGTGTGTAGTTCCGACAGTCTCTGTGCTGTCTCAAGTAATGCACTAACTCCCTCTGCTGACTTCCCCATGCCCCTGAACCTGCGGTGGTGGAGCGTGATGGCCAACAAGGATTCAGTCACTGAGGGAGAGGGTGAGGACAGCTGCTCACAGACAAACACAAACACACATATCCATACCCATACCCATACAGACACAAAAGGCTGATGTGCAAAGGATTGCAAATGCAGTGAGGCCCCTCGAAATATAATATGCTCATGTGGAGAAATGTCTGTGCTCCCCCTGCAATGTGGAAATGATTTGTTTTTGGGTAGTATTCCTGACACAGACTGTACATGCTAAGGAGTATTTCCACAGCCACCTCCGAGTGTACTATGTTGTAAGGGGATTATGTGAATGTTATTGTACTTTCTGTAACTTTCAATAATTTGAGACATAGTCTTAAAAAGTACGTGATAAAGGTTTCAAAAGTCTTGCATTATACCCAGTGGCTGGGGGCATGGTAGCATTGGGCATGTTCGTCTCCTTCTGCAAAAATCTCAGGGACAACATTGCAGGGGATCAGACGAAACTGTTCATTGTCTCCAAAAGCATTTAACTGTGCGAAGCAAGACAGTCACAGAATTTGATGCCTTCTCAAAAAAGAACTGCTCCTTGTGCAATATTGTGGGGAATCCAGCAGAGGGTGAGATCCAGCAGTTTAGGAACAGTGGAATATAGGAATTAGGAGAGGGAGCTGGCAAATCAGCCGTTCAAGCTCGCTCCACTATTTAACATAATCATAGCTGACCTTATCCTAATATCAAATCCACTCTCCTGCCTGCATCCAGTGGGCCACTTTTTATCTGTTGCTTGATTCTACCTCCACTTCATTCTGGAGCAGGGAGGTGCCATGGATCCACATACCACTGAGAGAAGTAGTTTCTCTGCATCTTAGTTTTGAACCTACCTCCTCTCACTCTATATCCATGAGCTTTTGTGCGAGACTGTCCCACAAAGGGCAGCATCTGTTCAACGTCCACCCATTTAGCATTTTCTATACCCCAATCAGATTCTTCTGAACCCGAGCGTATTGAAGATCAAGCTATTCAACCACCCCTCGTAAAACAGCTCTTTCATGCCTGGAATCAACCGGGTGAACTTCCTCTGAGCTTCCCACAGTGCCACCACATTCTTCCCCAAGTAAGGAAACGAAAACTGGACACAATACTCTAGATGTGCTCTCACTAAATCGTTATATAATTGTAACGGCACTTCTTTACTTTTTTAATCCAATCCTTTTGCAATACATGCCAGGATTCTATTTGCAATTCATTACAAGAGAAACAGACAGGGAAATAGAGAACGAGAGACTTGAATTACCAATTCACTGGATTCACCACCAAATCAACAGAGACTGCATTGCTCAGAGATGCTGACAGAGAAGCACACAACCATGGATACGCGCATTAACACACTAACATCGACAACAAATAAACTCACACACACACACACACACACACACACAAATAAAATATGCATACGGGCACTTTGTCCATGAATGATAAATAAGCTCTGATTTACAGCAGGGTGAGGAGTCCAAGGCAGGAGTCAGAGACAAAAGAAAGTAGAGTTACTTTAACCCAACTTCTGACCTCGGTACCTGTCCCCACCCTTAGCTGAGGCGGAGGGCCTAGTCTTGTCTCTCCCCAGCTCAGGATTTAAATAAAAGGTAAAGCAAAACTACAAAAATGCTGCTTGACACCATTTAATGAACGTTTTTATCGTTAACAAATTGCAGTTTTAGATACAGTTTTCACACTGTACCCTGAGTTTTGAAAAAAAAAGAATGAAACATGCCCTGTAACCTGTGTGGTAAGTTTGGACAAGTCAGCACTATCCTCAGACTGATGTGATAACAATAGGCGAAATCATTACTGCAAATTAGAATTGTAATGAGAAAGTACTGAAATGATGGATTAATTCGTGAGTTCTATTGATCAGTTAATTTGAGTAAAGGGATATTTCAGCACATTCTTCAGTTGCTCTCTGAACTTAGTCTGGGTCACGACATAAATCGTGGTGTTTGTGCAGCAACTGAGGAGCTGCAGCATGAAGCCCAACTCCATCACAAAAAGATCCAGAATGAAAGACGTATACCCAAAGTTATACATCCGAATCCAAATAGAATACACCATTAACATTGACCAGAGCAGGATGAAATTCACGGAGATCACAAACAATAAAATGATGGACTTCTTTCGGCTCTGCATTTCCGTGTCTCTGTGAATCTTCCCATTGGCGTGAACCCGGAGTCTCCTGCGGGTTCTGCTGGTCACTAAAATGTGTCTGACGGTGAAAACATTGAGCAACAGAATCATGAGAAATGGGAGAGTCGGGGTTAGAACGTGGTGGAGGAACTCGATTGTGACCCAGACACGAGAGAAATAAACACTGAGTGACGCATGACAAAACCAGGGAACATTGCTCAATGTATACCGACCTGAGAGCATAAAATACCAGAAAATGTTCTTTAAACAGCTCAGCACAGTCACTGTTCCCAGAACCACAGCCGCTGTTTTCTCTCTGCAATATTTACTTTTCAACTTCTGGCAGCAAATGGCCACAAATCGATCAAACGTGAAAGTAATGGTGAACCAGACAGAACAGTCAGTGGCTGCATAAAGCAGGACGGCATGGAAATTGCACATACGAATGTACCACAGGAAATAAAACTGTTCCTTAAAAACAATGGGAATGTGTCTCAATATCAGGTCGAGGATAATGACCAGTAGATCCGCTACTGCCATCGCCGCGAGGTAACGTCTGACACACGGAGACAATCCACAATCTTTATAAAGCAGGACGAAGATCGTCACTACATTAACTGTGATGAAGGTAAAAAACAAATTATACATCAGCCTGGAGGCAAAGTTACCAGTTTGATTGGGGACCAAGTGAGATTTTCAAATGTTTCACTGTATTCAGAGATTAATTGATCTAATCGGAGCTGAAAAGACAAAAGTTAAGGTGTGAATTACAAAAATGTGATGTAAAACACAAGACACACTCTCTCTCCAACTCTTAGACACAAATCCTTAGGAACAGATGACTTCTGGACTATTCCAACACACTCTAACACACAGGTCACTTCTTCACAGTTCCTAATACGGAGGGTAAAAATGTTGTCGTCCTGTAGGATTCTCCCCCAGTTCCTTGAAGACAAATGCAGTTTGGAAATTTTTGTCTTTTTGGCTGAATTGTGGTCTATTCTCTGTAGTGAAGAAATGTAAACACAGGGAAAATGTATTTACCCCCTTAACTGCCTGAGCGGATGTCGAAACAGTGTCGTCTTCTCCTTGGAACGGGATCTCTTCTCTCGGGATCTTATGTTTTAATTCAATTAACACTTTTCACCAATTAACTGATGTACAGCAGTTCACAAATAATATCAGTTATAAAATGTTCAGGAAGAATTAGAGGCTGTACATTAAATAAATGGAGAGATGTTACAGGACTTTGTGCTATAGTATGTACTGGAGGGTTCACTCTGACCTGTTCAGACATTGGAAATGTTGCTCCATCTCCCTGATTTTCCCAGTGGCTCCGTTGGTCTCAGTACACACGGGATATTTTGATGTGGCGGGGAGTGGTGAGGCGGGGGGAATGTTTTGAGCCATGTATCAAGGGGATAGCCATCCTTTCTTTCTATGTGGAGACCTGAAGACAATGGGAACGGCTGTCTGCTTCTGAATGACGAGGCTATGGCTGCTGACAGGACAGTGGGTATTCACCAACATGATATACTGTGCATAGTCACACTCCAACATTAATCAAGTGAGAGTTTTTTTCCGTTCCTCTACCTGTCCCCATTTACATGGGAACCCCACAGAGCAATGGACACCATCGGGAATACTACTATACTGGGAAAACAAGGATACACCCAGCAGCTCCCTGCTGATTGAAAAAACAGTAAATCCACATTATGTGCTCCATCACCGAATGGTGACATCGATGTTGACCAAAATGGGAGATAATGGATACATCACCCACTCCTGCCCGGAAAGTTCAGGATCATAGAAGCTGGATGAAACGGTGACGTTTACAGCCACTGGCAGCACCGTCCTCATCTCGGTGTGAAGTTGCAGGTTGTGTTGGAGGAGGTGGCCCCGCTCTGTGACCAGCTCCTGGTTCAATCAGGATCACCTCACACTCAGCTCCTGGGTAAGGGCAGCTTGGGAAGATGTTCTTGGTAAACCCTGGGAGGATATGGCAGATCCCTTGCCCCACACACACTGACTCTGTGGTTTCAGAGCTTCCCCTTTCTGCAGCCTCTGCTCAATTTGGTGTTCATGTTGCAGACCCAGATGCTGTAACTACATTCCTCATGCTCCATCCAAAGTTGTCACCAAATCCTCAGGTCTCCCTGAAGGTCTGAGGCAGCTCACAGCACAACCTCCAGCAAACCAATCCTAGCACCTCCAAAAACTTTTCAATAACAGGATCCAGTCAGAAGCCCCTCACTGACAAGTTATTAGTCCTTTACAAGAATGCTCGAGGGGTTTCCTTGTGTTACTGATTGCAATATCAGTTGAGAGGGACAGGCACATACCAAGTTTCAAAGATGTGAGTCAATGCTGCCAAAACCCCCATCAAACATGGAGCACCACATGAAACACACGGAACTGAATGGCAGCCTGACACACAGCATTTAATTGTTTCTGAGCTTCACAATGACTGCATTGAACGAAAAGCGAAGGCCAAGGAAAGATACAGACGCATAGAAAGTTTCACATTCAAGATAGAAGCAGATAATAATTTAACTGAGAACATGATGTGAAAACATGGGGAGAAAACAAAGGAATCTGCCTCACAGATCCAGCCCAGACATCATAAATTGGGACAAGATGACATCTTAGTATGGAGAACTGTGTAGACCATGCTAATGTATTGTTCAGTAAACTGGACTATGTGCCCAGAATGGGGATCATTGCAAGCTTTTGCCAGTATATTGCCACTATATTTGCACTAGCTAACTGCCTAACATGGGGAACTGTGCGGCCAATGCGGAGTGACAGTAACTTGGGCTCCCACACATTTATGTCTCTATATCTCCAGTGCAATTGTGTAAGAGTTGTATTTGTGTGTATGTTGGGGGGATAGATGTGAGAATCATTGTTTGATAGGAAGAAAATTAGCTTAAATATGAGCAACTCGTAGTGGTTTGGCTAATTGGCAGAGAGAAACTGAGAGATGTTTCATGGACAGAGGTGATGATGTGCTTCAGAATATTAAAATAAAGACATTACCAGGTCCGATTACATAGATCAGTGCACACAGGAATGACGCATGGAGGGAATTTTGGTGTAAGTTCGAATACGAGCTGTGGAGTGTCCACTCAGATTTGCTTATGAAAGTTCGAACCTGGGAGTGTCAGCAGCAGATTATTGACATGATTAAGACAGTATTTCATAGCTCAAGGTTCGAACCAAAGGGATCACCACAATTGTGACTCACCTGTTTCAGCCTCAGACATTGGCTAAGGATGGGATGAGTCAGAGGAAGGAAATGGAGTTTGTAACCAGAACAGAAAACAGTGACCTTCATGCTCCAAATATTTAAATAACAAGGACAATGATACAATGAATTGCGGTTTACAGCGAAAACTGACTAGGTCAACGCATAGACTCATGAGGGTCACTGTCAGAAGCAGAGAGAGAGAGAGTGCATGAACAAGTTCATTGGATGCAGTTATTCACTCTGCAAACCACGACGAGCAGGAAAATAGTCTCAGCAGGAACAATAACAGCGGCATGGAATTAGACTAAATGAAAAGAACAGTAATACAGTCACATACAGTTTATAGAAATAATAACTGGGCAGTAATACTTACCAGGGATACCAACGATAGCCGTGATAGGATAATAAAAATATTGAAAAATGGAAATGGCATATTCAATGCGCCCTGATAATGATATCTGATTATGATGTGTAGATAGAAACCAAACTTCATGAGATAAACTCTTGTCCATTGTTGGAACATTCCAGTCTAATGTTCTCAGATTCTGATCAAATGTTGGAACATTCCAGTCTATTGTTCTGACATTCTGATCTCTCCTACCCCTCTCTGTGGAGCTGCTGATCCTTGTTAGTGCTGTTGGTGATGCTTCCATTCATACTATGGGATAACACATTGAACGGAACCCATTTATCGTTAAAAGAGGAAACCCTCCACTGGGATAATTAGAAACCATGGAGAAATTAATCACAGTCACCGAATAAACAAGTTCAGTTAACCCCTTCCTACATCACTTTTCATATAACAATAAAAGGGAATATTTACTCAATCTTTTTAAATTTTTTCTTCCTTGTATGTGGGAGCAGTATCAGAACACTGCAGTGTTGTATATGTTGCACCCTGTTTTTAAAAGGAGACAGGGATAGAGTAACACACCAGCTGCAAAAAATGACTGATGGTAACATTTCTAGACACCATAAACCAGGGTAACAATATTTATTACCTGTTGACTGTGTAACGTTGCTCCTATATTTAAGTGTCCTGTTATCAAATTGTTTCATAACCTTGAGACATCATTCACAGCGTTGAGACTGCTGCTCAGGAACAGGAGGAAACACTTCTGTCCCCGTGTGCCTGGGGATAGACAGGGATAGAGGAGGTCATTCAGTCCACTTGAGCCTATTACCACTTTTGAAGGTGGCGAGCTGAAATGATGCATATTTTGCAAATCATGGAGATGTGTTACTACAGCTGTGCGAGACCTCACTGACAGGATACCTGAAGTATATTGTGTTTTTGTGTTTCTGTAACTGAGAAGGGAGGAACATCCATCAGATACAGTTTAATAGCTGCTCATAATCCACAGTTTGCTGCATCATTTAATGCCTCGTGTCTGTTACACACAGGCAGGAGGAGGTCATTTAGCCTCTCATATTTGTTTTAGCATAGAACACTGCAGCACAGGAACGGGCCCTTCAGCTCACAATGTTGTGCTAAAAAACATGATGCCAAATTAAACAAATCCCTTCTGCCTGTCCTTGGTCCATATCCCTCCATGACTTGCATATTCATATTCTTATCTAAAAGTCCCTTAAATGCCCTTATTGTATCTGCTTCCAACACCACACTGGCAGTGCGGTCCAGTCTCTTAATACTCTCTGCGTAAAAAAGCTTGCCCCTCACATCTCCTTTGAACTTTACCCCTCTCACAGTAATTGCATGCCCCCTAGTATTAGGCATTCTGGAAAACAATTCTGATCATCAACCCTCTCAATTCATCTCATAATTTTATAGACTTCTATCAAGTGTCCGCTCAGCCTCTGCCACTCCAGACAAAACAACTCGAGATTTTTTTGACACAAAAATAGAAATCACTGGAAAAGCTCAGTAAGTCTGGCAGCATCTGTGAAGAGAAATCCAAGGTAATGTTTTGGGTCCGGTGACACTTCCTCAGAACTGATGTTAGCTAGGAAAATGTTGGTTAATATGCAAAAGATACGGTAGGAGGAGGAGTTAAGGTCTAATTGATAGGTGGGGATAGAGCCGAGCAAGAATAGTTGGACAGAAAAAGGAGTGGATAATGATCTGGCTGGGAGGGTAAATAGCTGTTAATGCAGACTGATAGTGGCTAACAATAGGTAGAGTGTAATAACACACTATGTGATAACAAGACCTGGTGTGTGGAATAGGGGGCTAGGACATGGGAGAGTTCAGGCCCTAAAATTATTGAACTTGATATTGAGTCTGGAGGGCTGCAGGGTCCCCAAGTGGAAAATGAGGCGTTGTTCCTCCAGCTTGCGCTGAGCTTCCCTGGAACATTGCAGCAAATCTGAGACATAGATGTTGTCCAGGAAACAAAGTGGTGTGTTAATGTGGCAGGCAACTTGAAACTCAGGGTCTGTTTTGGGGGCCGGACGTAGATGTTCTGTGAATCTGTCACTCAGTCTATGTTTTGTTTCCCCAATATAGAGGAGACCACATTGTGAGTGGCAAATTCAGTAGATTAGATTGTGTGTAGCTAAAGTGATGCCTCACATGGAAGATATGTTTAGACTCTTGGATACTGAGGAGGGAGAAGGTAAATGGGCAGTTGTTACACCTTCAGCGTTTGCAGGGGAATGTACCGTGCTGCTGTGTGGGTGGGGTGTTGGGAATGAAGGAAGAGTGGACCAATGTGGCCCAAGGGAACAGTCCCTGCAGAAAGCAGACAAGGGACGGGAGGGGAATGTATGTCTCGTGGTTTTTCCAGCCTCTCCTTATCGCTCATACGCTCTAATCCAGGCAGCATCCGGTAAACCACTTCTGCACCCTCTCCGAAGCCTCCACATCCTTCCTGTAATGTGGCAACCAGAACTGAATACAATACTCGCAGTGTGGTCTAACCAAAGATGATAAAGCTGCAACATGTCATGCTGACCATTGCACTCAATTCTCCAAAGATTAAAGGCAAGCATGCCATATGCCTTCTTTACCAACCGATCTACTTGTGTGGACACTTTCAGAGAGATATGGAATTGAACCCAATGATCCCTCTGTACATCAATTTCCGGTTCTGGCATTAACTGTATACATCTCCTTAACATTTGATCTGCCAGCGTGCAGCACCTCACACTTACCTGGATTAAACTCCATCCGCTATTTCTCTGCCCATTTCTGCAAATGATCTATATCCCACTGTATCCTTTGACAACATTCTATACTGTCCACAACTCTACCGATCTTTATATCATCTGCAAACTTGCTAAGCCATCCATCTACATTTTCGTAGAAGGTATTTATATTTATCACAAACTTCAGATGTCCCAATCCGGTCTCCACGGAACACCACTAGTCACAGATCTCCAGCTAGAGAAACACCCTCCCACCAGTACTCTCTACCTTATTTAGGCAAGGCTTCTGGCAACAAATGGTCACAAATCGATCAAAGGTGAAAGTGATGGTGAAGCAGAACAGTCAGTAGCTGCATAAAGCAGGACGGTGAAATATTACACTCCAGGATAAAAATTGTTCCCAATAAATGATGGGAATGTGTCTCAATATCAGGTCGCGGATAATGACCAGTAGATCCGCCATTGCCATGGCCCCCAGGTAACGTCTGACACGTGGAGACAAACCACAATCTCTGTATCGCAGAACGAAGGTCGTCACTACGTTTACGGTGAGGAAGGAAAACGAATTATACATCAATCTTGAAGCAAAGTTACCAGTTTAATTGAGGACCCAGTAACATTTTCAAATGTATCACTGATATATTGAAAAAAAAACATTGAAGCTGAAATAACAAGTAGGAAGGTCTCAACTTCTTTATTACAAAAAATGTGACATAAATCACAAGAAGCACTCCATCCCGAAACACACAGACACACATCCATAAGAACAGATGGTTTCTAGAACATTCCCACACACTCAATCCCTCGAGAGCAGGCACAGGTCACTTCTTTACAGTTCCTAATACAGAGGGTGAAGACGTTGCCTTCCTGAAGGATTCTCTCCCAGTTCCTTGAAGACAAACGGAGGTTGGAAATTTCTGTCTTTTAGTCTAAATTGTGTTCGATCCTCTGTCGTGAAGAAATGTAAATGCAAGGAAAACATATTCAGCCCTTTAACTGTCTGAGGGGACTTCGAAACAGTGCCTCCTTTCCCCTGGAACAGGATCTTTCTCTTGTGATCTTATGTTTTGTTCAATTAACTGACATCCAACCGTTCAATAAATAATGTCGGTTACAGAATGTTCCGGGGAATGTCTGTTCTAGAACATTCCGGGGAATGTCGGTTATCGAATGTGATGGAGTCATAAAGATACACATCACAAAGGCCCTTCTGTCCATCAGTTTTGGTGAGACCCACTCAGCCTTGCGGTGGAAATCTCTCCCCAAACTCAAGTCAACTGGCACTGTGCACAAAAAAAATGTATTTAAAACAATACTTTGATCATTTGATGTGAGATCCTCTACTATGATCATACAAATATCATCCCTTATTCAGAGATCTCCCGCACTACTTTTTCATTTTGAATGACACTTATGAATGTAAAACATCTGGATTTCATTTCCCAATAAAGAGGGAAACATTTCCATCATAACATTGGTAATGGAGAGAGATTACTGAATTTAGTGATAAAGTGATTACTGGAGAGTTCACTCTGACCCGGTCAGACATTGAAAGTGTTATTCCATCTCCCTGATAGTCTGCTCCTGGTGTTCCCAGTGGCTCCATTTCTTTCAGTACGCACGAGATATTTTGATGTGGTTGGTTGGAGGTGGGGAGTGGTGGGTGGGAGGGGTCGTTTTGAACCATGTGTCAAAGGGGTGGCCTTTATCCGTGAGGCCATGCTTTCTTTCAACATGGTGACATGAAGACGATGGGAATAGCTGCCTGCTTCTGAATGAAGAGGCTGTTGCTGCTGCCAAGGCAATGGGTATTTATCAAAATGATGCACTGTGCATGGTCACACTGCAACATTAATGCAGTGAGAGTTTGGTAGGTCGAATCACAAAAATGTGAACACAAATTAAAGGCATTGTCAGATTAGTTGAAGTGGTCAGTTATCCTACATTCTCAATCCACTCACAGAACCAGCCCAGACACCACAAACCCAGATGAGATATCTGTTCAGCATGGAGCACTGTGCAGACCAGGCGAGTGTCCTGCTCAATACAACACGGCAATGTGTCCAGAGTGGGACACTGTGCAGGCCTCACCAGTCAACTAGAAACCAGTCCAGCATAGGCAGCTGTGCAGACCACACGAGTGCCTTTATCTTTAAACCCGGGATGGATGCCTGTCGAGTATGGAGAGCTGTGCAAACCACACGAGTGCATTGATCCAAAAATCCAGACCAGGTATCTCTCCAGCACGGGGGACTGTGAAGTGAACGCCACTGAACTGATCTGTAAACCCGGAGCAGTTACCCTCCCAGCATGTAGATCTGTACAGACCACCCCAGTGCAGTGCTCGTCAACGCTGTGTTAAATCGCTGCCCAGCCTGGGGAAACTTGCAGCCCATCCATTTAC